AGGAGGGCCGTGCGCAGCCCTCCTGAGCTCCATTTTTACTGGCAGAGGCACCACGAGCCGGTCTTTCATTGTTGCTCACTGACCATTTGAAGTTACAAAGGATCTACCTTGGAGCTACTTATGAACAGGATTCAAAGCTCCAATGGTCAGCCACCCCCTCCCCTGATGCGGTTACATGGCCAAACTTTGGGTGCTCGGTAACATGGCTGAACTCAGTTGTTTGCAGGGTCCTGGGATCACATGACCACATTTTACTGTCATTTTGCAGACAATTGGCACACGTTTGGGCCAATAGCAAACCATTATTTTGCTTAACAATGCAATGTTCACTTAAAAACGGATTTACTTAACGGCTGCTGCAAAAAAGGCCATAGAATCAGACCTTGGGCCAATCACGTGACCAACCCATTTTGCAACCATTACAACTCATGAGCATGATGAGCAGACGCCATTAGAATCATAAGTCAAAGACTATCTGCATATCGGCCAATGTATCTGAAAGGCATCAAATAGGAGGAGGAAATTTAAATCAATGTTTCTTCTAAAGCAGACCTTCGTTCCCCTGATCTAGCATGACCTCCGGGTCTCCTTGTACTTGTTTATCCATTATGCAACAAAACAGAACCAGGGAGCTAGCTACTCAAGGGTTTCACCTTGAAGGAACTGTGCACTAAGGTCTCATCCAGGTCAATCACCACACATATTCGGCCCTGGTCTTGTTGAGTCACCTCAGGGAGAAGGCATGTTCCAGGAATCTAGAAAAAGAAATGTGAGCTTAGCTTCCGCGGGCTGCAAGAACCACATTTTGTGATATGCATTGTACCCTGTTTTAAGTTTACAAGTTTAATTTTGGAACTTTATCTTACAGTTGTGCAAAAGTGCAGGAACACAGCAACTGTCAGCAACTCTTTTCAATCCAACATCGAGGTGCAATTGCCTGCACCAAATGCAGCTGCTTTAAGGAACTGCTTGAAAATGTTACCCGAGCCCTGTCTCATGCATCATATCCCATTTTTGCCCTACTCTGCATTATATGCCATGCATTCCCAAATGCTTCTGGGCAGCTTACCAAAAAAAAAAAAAAAAATGACGCTGTTGTGAAGCACATTTAACAAGCTTCACTCAGTTATATTAACAAGTACCATATTTTGCCATTTGGAAAGTTCTTGTTTCAGCAACTAATCCACCCTGGGAGAAAGTTTCGAAATATTTCTAGCAGGACTACCAGATTCTGTAACAGCTTTTTTCCTTTTGCCATTCGTCAGGTAAACTCACAAGATTCGTTTTCCTCACCATGTACATGTATACATCTGAACTAAACTGTGTTGTTTCTCTGTGTCATATAATATAGGTGGGTATATGCATAATTTTTGTATTTATTGATTTAGTCATATTCATGTAATGTATATTGGAGGTGGTGACTCTTTGAGAGTTGTATGCAATGAAATTTCATTTTAATGTATGCCAATTAGTGTACATTCGAAGTGACAATAAAGTTAGTCTGTTTGCAGAGAAAAAAAGCATGGCCAAAAACCAACAACCCCTAGGCCTAATATTTAAAATGTGCATATCACCTCAAGACTTAGTCCTCTAGGGATCCTTAACTTCCACAATAAAGATACAAGTATCTTTGACGTATGACCATTCAATTAGTGTTTGAAATGATGATGGTGTTGACAAAAGTGATTTACAACTGGCCCTTGCACTGCTGTAGTGTCCTCAGTTCCCGTGATCAAAATTTAGGCGCCTGGCAAGGGCCTTGCATTTATGATGGCTGATAGCATCCCAGGGTCATGTGATCACCATTTGAGACCTTCGCAGCTGATTTCTTGGAAACAAAATCAATGGGGAAACCAACAGAAAATGTTGCAAGTCATAGTCATGGGATATCTTGCTTAATGACCAAATTTCTTAACAACAAATGTTCTGGTTTTAAGTCAAGGATTATCTGTATCTCAAAAATGCTTTTCTTCCTGTTAACTAACAGATCTATTTTTAATCCACACTTATTTTTAACGCAGGAGTACAATGAATACAGATGCTTTTAAAAATGTAGAATAATTCCAGTGTTATACACTGTAGGCTCCCTGTGTCTTTCTATTGTCTCTCTCGCCATCCAATAATCACCTCATGTCCACATTAAAGCCGCAATGACTTTATTTTTAGGAGAAGGATGTACCATTGTCCAGGTAAGTTTCAATTCTTTTTTCTAAAACTTTCTAAATGCAAAGTGATTTCCATTATGTATTCTTTCAGACAAGTACATTTCAGAATTTGGTCAATGCCTGTTATGAATAGCTGAATATGCCTCGAATTTGCATACTGTTATGCAAATTCGAGGCATATTCATATTGACATCTTACAATTTTCTACAGCAAACATTAGATCCCTTTTCAAAGTAGTTACTGCCATTTACAGTTCAGAGAGTACATTTATTTATTTATTTTTAAAAAATAAGCCTACTTTTGTGCCATAAATGCTGCAAGTATTATTTGGGTATTTTTATTTAGATTTTACCTGTCTTGTTTTTATCATTGAAGTGTATTTTTCTGTTTATACTGTATTTTATTATACTTAATAAATATATAATACCCTTATTACTGTTTGATGACCCCTGCCCGATACACCATTTGCTGCCAAACTGGGCCAGAAATCTAGGAAAGAAATATACACAGAGCCAGTGGGAACACTGTCCCACATTTCTGTTCACTATAATATTTCTCCTAACAGAAACTTGCAAATTTTCAGGCAAACAGGGAACAACTTTTCTCTTTATTGCCACATCATTCTTCATCACAACATTCTTTAAGCTCCAGGGAAAACTGTCTCTATTTATTTGACAGACAGCTACATTTTCCAGGAGCAATTTACATGTTGATCCATGTTGCTGGCATGTGGGAGGACACCTCTACAAAATAGAGAAAGGGAGTGCGTATACACACCAAAGAAGGAGCAGCAGTTTGCATTGAAGAATATGTTCTGCAAAACTCCAAATTGTTGAGTTGGGAAAACGCTGCCAGGAGATATCCCCCAGATGTCTCGGTGACTTCGTTTAGACAAAACTATTGATAAGCCCATGTCTGAATTCTATCATTTCTGGCTACAGAAATGGCTTGAGAATTTTAACTTTCTACTGAGGATAAACTCTTGTTGTAGTCCAATCTCTACTCTGAATGAAGAAATTCTTGCATCCCAAATGGGAAAATGGCCGTCAGTCCTGTGAATGCTCACCAGCAACTGACAGAGGAGAGTTTCACTAACACATTTGCTGTTGGTGTGAATTACACCATGCCACATTCCTGCTCACAGAAATTTGCTCTCAACAGCAAGACAAGCGGACACACACACCTCCCCCACCCAAATTTCACTGGAGATGAACAGAAATTTGCTTAGTCAGAGCAGGATCATTTTCCTTTGTTCACATATACAAATGTGTGAGCGTGCGTACACACAGAGAGGCACGGTTGTTACCACCAAGCTAGAGCTGGGTATCGACTGCATTATTTTTCTTCCTTGCTGCCACACACATTATTTGGATTAACACATCAAAACTGAAGTTAATTGCAACTAAGTCTCACTGAAAATACTGATAATATTAAACCAGCAGACCCATTGAACTGCTGCTCAATTCATAGTTTGCTGCCCTTACTGGAGATTTTCTCTCAATGGGGAACTCCCTACGCCTGCCATTTATTTCCAGAGGGAAAATGAAGACTTGGCTCAAGAGCAGATACAGATCTCTCTTGCCTTTAGAACAAACACATACCTGATAAAACTGGTATTGAAGACACTGCAACAGATCAGACTAAAAGGGGGGGAAAAAGAGGAGAGCAAAGATGTAGGTTTATGAGAAAGATGAGACAGTGATACTATTCTTTGGGGATTTCAGCAAAGCCTCTGTCAAGGAACAGCGTTGCAAAGGCTGGCTTCACACATTACTATACATATTTCTCACCCAGAACAGCCATAGCACATGAAGAAAAGGTAGCGGAGGGACTCTGAAAAAATACAGGCGCTACATGCTTGAAAAGCTTAGAGGATGTTTTAGATTAACACATGAAGGGGACTTTAAGTCTGTTAATGCAGTCCTAATTTCTTTGATCCTGCTGCAGACATTTGGGGCAACAGAAGGAAATCAAGCAACACTCTTACTTACAGGCGTGTTTTTAAAATAAGGAAATCGCAAGCAAAATAGCTGCACTGCATCTCTGTTAGGTTTATATCTAATTTAGTCAACCACAGGCCAAATTAAAAAAAGAAGGGAAGAGCAGATGACACGTGGTTTTTAAGAGCTCCTGTCCATAAAAAGGTTCCCCATCCTTGCTATGCATAATGATTTTTAAAAAAATTTTAATAGTGGAAATTAATATCCTCTTTTTAAAGAGGATATTCATCCACATCTCAGAGAAACTGTGTACTTTTAAAGGAGGGTAAGATATATACACCATAAGCTATAATATTTAAGGTCTTTTTCTGTCTGCTTACACAACTATGGAAAATAGAATGAAGTCCATTTCTGGATAAAATGGGTTTACTTTTCATTGTTCTACTCTCCTGTCATTAGCTGTGGCTTCCCAACCCAC